AAATTTGTCATGGCGCCAATAATCCCAATGGGATCGGAGTGTGAAATGACCTTGTGCACTTCCACAGCCGCTGCATGCTTTCACGGTAGCATTGTCATCGTGGAGTTTTATTATTCTACCTCTTTCTCTACACACAATTACGGTCACCAATTTCTGACGGTTGAGAGAATGCATAAGCTTGAGGCCTTTATCTTTTTCATCCCCCCTCCCCGTGGCACACCAAGATCACACCATAGACGTACGTTGATGCTTGATGACCTTTGGAGATCACAATATATTCTTGTATCCGAAGTAACATCGCATCCTTTGGTTGTACAAGGCCTCAAATTCTTGCACTCCCTGCACCGTTCTAGGAACATGGACACTTCATCTCTGCTCCATGAAGTCAGCGAGTTGACCATTTTAATGTCCGAATGTTGATGTGCTCCAAGATGCGATCGTGTTCGACGAGTTGGTTGAACTTCTTGCATACCATTTATGCTGAATACAGATCATTAAAAGAGCGGGAAGCAACCTTCGTGAGTATTTCCAAAAGAAGCTCGTCCGGTAGAGATTGTAAGAAAGGGGGGGGGGGGGGGAGATGTGCCTTTCTTCATCGTTGTAGAACTGGATGAGGTGGTTTATGCATGGACAAGCATGAATAAATACACCACCTCTCATGGAAGCAAAAAGTTTTCATGCATAATAGCCAAACCAATTAATTAAAAAATTCTCAAGCATGCATGCAACCGTCATAACTCATAATTAAGACAACCTTAGAGAAACCAACCCAACCATCAAGCCTATCACACCCATCCCTGACTATTATTTCATTTTTTGATTCCTTGACATGACAAGTGCATACTGTGTGCAGGATATGTGCAGAGATTGCACATGACCTAACCATGTCCCAAAAGTCGCTTTCAAATTAATCTTGACAAATTGATGTTTTTAGTATTGAATCCGACATACTAGAAAGCGCCACATGGACCGATTGCAAGAATCTTTTTATTCTTTTAACTGTTGGAAATCCAACGGTCCATATCACCAGGCATTCTAAAATTTAACAATTGTTATTGAGCATATAGAGTCGTTGGGCTCTTCTGTTGGGGTTGCTGCAGAAGGTCTCACACCAGCAAGTGCTGTTGGCTCCACGCGTTTTGATTAGGCACAATCACTGGGTTGGTTGACCTGGTTAGGTGTCACAACCCTTGGCTCGGGGTCGGTAGAAAGTTTGTATAATTTAGCCCTTGAGACCAAGTGGTAGAAGTACAGAATGGGATGTACGAGGTCTGTGTGTTTTGTTATACGAGTTACCAGGTATAGTTAAAGTACTTTACATTGCATTCATCCATTGTTATCATTAATAATTTGATACCTGATTGTGTATGATGCCATGACACATAATCTAGTTTGGTTAATTTACTATGTTAAGGTTATGTCCGTAGTGAGTTGTTGAAGTTCACGCCTATATTGTTAAGCAAGTTTTCGAACTAAACAGTCAAGAGAGTAGGCAGAATGAGATTGAATTAGATGTGAGATCACTAGAAGTTTAATTTTTTTTTTTTTTTTTGATTGCCTTGTAAAGAATTCTTGAGTTTCTTTGTCCAAGAAGAATTTATTTTCATCAGGTTTTAGTTTATTTTTATTTATTTAATTTTTAGCTCGTGTTTCGGATTTGGGTTTGAGTTTTCTACCAACATGAGTCCGAAGCATGGCAGAATGGTGAATTATATACCTTGGGAAAGAAGTGTTGGAAATGATTTGCAAGATATATATATATATATATATATGTGTGTGTGTGTGTGTGTGTGTGTGTGTGTGTGTGTGTGTGTGTGTGTGTGTGTGTGTGTGTTTGAAATTGGAAGGGTTTTTAACAAGTGGATTTTTGGACGTTGATACCTCTGGTGATATGCAAAGTGTATGGAATAGGCTTGAATATAAAGCTAGTTTTTGCATGTGTTGTTGCAATGGCATATTAGAGTTATATTGAGAAAGATGTATAGTTAGACTGAAATGTGGACTTGAGCGGAATGGCAGCGGCCATCAACTCAAGAAAACAGAGAGAAAAATGGAGTTGTGTTTTGCTTGAGCGTTAGAGGAGGGGATAGGTTTGATGTAGTTTGTAAGTTAGGTTGGTGTAATGAAAATTAGGAGGCTCTTAAAAGTACAGAAATGAGGGGAAGTTTAAATAATTTCTGCGAAGGGAATTTCTGCAGAAAATATTGTCAGTTAGTTGGGGATAAGAAAACAGGACGATAATTTGACTTGGTATGGAGTTTCAAACTAGATCTTTGGTGCTAGATTAGTCTTTGAATAGTGATCAACTATATGCCAAAATTTGTGTACGGTTAGAAATTTCATATTGATGGAATATAGAAAACTATGATTTTGATTATGGAAATTGATGGTATTTTGAAAGGTGGCATATCCCTGGAACTTCCTGAGGGAATGAAATAAAAGCTTCTTTTTGAAGATGCATGGAGATGAAAATAAGAGCGCAGGGGTTAGTGGGAATGAAAATTACAATTATACACTCTTGGTGAAATATGTAGAGAAAGGGTGGGTGGGAGTGCCATAATTTGGTGACTGGGGATGCAATTATTAGAATGAGAATTGTGGTTGTCTTGTGGAATTCAAATATAAGAAAAAGAAAATTACATATTTACTTATGTGAAACCGTGGATGCTTTAATTACTTGAGTTACAAGCTGCTAGTAAAATTGTCTTTGGACGAATGTTAACTAGACTTATGTGAGCTCGGAGTATCTACAATATAGATAAAAACCAAAGACAATTAAATATTTGCAACTGCACAAGATCAACAATAGTATTTTAAGGGCAAGCACAAGGTCGATTATTATTCAATTACTATGCAAATGTTAAAGGTCGTTCGTTATTTAAAAAAATTTGTTCATTCTATGGCATGACTTAATCCATGGTCATGCATTAAATCGTGTATCTGACACACAATTAAACACATGTATAGAAACTCATTTTAAGTGTGGAAGAATTGTGTGGTAGCAGAAATTTGCTGCCTTCTGTTTTGACGAACTTGTACCTACAAAACAATTAACACCTTTGATCAAAGACCTAAGGCTTATGCTCCCACAAGGTGGGGAAGGGGGGGGGGGTGTGTTCAGCAAATGGATCTCCGATGCCTAAGTTAGGTTCTCTAAAAAGAATGAGTTTTTAGGGCTTGTATGCGTACCAAAAGCTTATCAAAATCTGAAGGTGATGAGGGTGTTTATAGGAAGGTAGTGGCCAGTCATGGTGTAGGGATTTGCCCTACACATGGCGACTTTCTATTGGCCAAGTTATGTCATCTTTAGCCATAGGATGCGCAAGGAAATGATGTTTCCAAGATATTAATTAGGAGATTATATCTTGGAATGATGATGGGAATATCCATAATTGATTTGAAAGGAATTCCTTACTTGATATGGTTGATCTTCAATTAGGATTGTATTAAAGATAGGATTTGGTAATTAGTTTTATCTTTAATGCCTTTGATTTTTTCCATGCCACGAGTAGGGGAGCTTTGAGTAGTCGTGTCCGCTGCTTGAACTTTCAGGGATGCTTAGCTGCACATGGGAATACTTGAGAGTTCTTCCTGGGCAATCTTGTCTTTTTCAAGTAAAAGTCCATGTGTCCCCTTCTGAATTTTTGAGATTATTTTTTATTCCACAAATTCTATCAACAAGAATCAGCTACACTACCTAGAGACATATGTAGTTGGAGGCAGTTTCCCCATGGTTAGGGCTTCCACCCCAAGTCAAAGTTTTTTTTTTTCATTTTCTTTTTTTTTGAAGAAACAATATTATATACACTAAGAGGGTGGGGAAGTAGGCTAAGTCTCACAATGGGCTAGCAATAATGTGATTCAAATTCATCTTTGGAGAAAATCAAACCCAAGACATCTTACTTAAAAGTAAAGAGGAATACCACTAGACTTATTAACTGGCAACTCCAAGTTGAAATATTAATTCTCTCTTCCTTGCTTTCCCTTGAGTTAATGAGATATTTCTTTTCTGAAGAAAAGGACTTGCAGTTTGAAAAATGCAACATAGACCAAAACCAAAGCACAAGCTGAATTTTTCAAACTGCAACACCCATTAAAATCTAACATGAGAATAGTTGCACTCTTGAGTTAATGAGAAATTTCGTTACACCTGCACTCTTGACTTAATATATGTTAGGAGTTTGAAAGTCCTAATCTTGAAAAAATTGGGTATTGAATAAAAATTTCTAGCTTCAAATCCCCCCCACTTCAAGCCAATACAGGGATTGAAATTGATGACTCTAATGCCTCAATTTGCTGCTGAGAGTCTGAAACTTTCCTTACCTTCACTATCTGGTGTTTTGAGTCTAGGCCTGTAAACAGGTTGGGTTTATTGGGTTTGGGTACGGTTTCATCTGATTCATTAAGCTAACGGGTCACACACCCGTCCCATTGAGCTAACGGGTCACTCAAACTTAACCAATTAAGCTAATGGATCACCAATTTCATCTGTTAACATAGTATTCTAATACAAATTACACATATTTTAATGAAGATTTCAAGCATGAAGGTCCAACACATTTAGAAGTACCCAAATACAAAGTTGATAAGTCTTGCAATTGGGCATACAAATATGGTAAAACCTTACAAGAGTGTCAATGCAAATATCATAAACCCTTGCAGAAGGAACTCATGAAATAAACTATACGTATGTATGCAAAAATTATTTAGTTTTTCTTTTATGGTGTTGCTCATTTGTCTAACTTCTAATTTCACGCCATTTCAGAAGTTGAAGACTTGACTTAAAAAATTAACTCATGAATGTATTAGTCAAGAGCATCTCTTACGCATGTAGAAGAAATGCGATGCACTTGTCCCCGTTACACCCGTCTCTACCACTTTTTAGAAATTAATTTGTGAAAGAATTTGTACTGATGTCAGTCTATAAATAGTTGTGTCACTTTGCATTTCCATACATAGCTAAGAGTGCCAAAAAAAAATATATTCAAAAGATTGTTGTTATGGGGTTACTTGATACCTCCACCATTCGCATGGTTTCAAAACTAGTACAGGTTTTGTTGCTGTTTCATCATGTGGTTATTGCTAACTCTTCATACTCTTCGCAGAAGCAGTATCCATCTTGCCCTAATGAGGAGAAGTCCGCCCTGCTGCAATTCAATGACAGCTTTACGATTGACAAATCTGCTTCTAGATCTCCCAATGCTTATCCAAAGGTTTCATCATGGAAACCAGCTGAAGGAGGAAATAGCACCTGCTGCTCATGGGAAGGTGTCGAGTGTGATGAGAAGACGGGTCATGTGATTGGCCTAGATCTTGGTAGCAGCTGTCTCCACGGCTCTATCAACAGCAATAGCAGCCTCTTCCGCCTAGTTCATCTTCAAAGGTTAAACCTCTCTGACAATAACTTCAATTACTCTCAAATTCCTACTAGCATTAGGAATTTTCCAAGCCTTACTCATCTTGACTTCTCTACCTCTGTCTTTTCTGGTCAAGTCCCTTCTGAAATTTCACTGTTATCCAAGTTGACATACCTTCGTCTATCTGGCAATGTAGATTATTTGTCAGAAGAAGAGTATCGTCCCTTTTTGAAACTTGAAGCATCAGATCTTGGAAGCTTAGTTCAAAACTTAACTAGTCTCGAAGTACTTTCCCTCATTTTCGTAAACATATCTTCGGCAATGCCTCATTCAATGGCTAATTTATCATCATTGACAGCCCTCTACCTCAAAGGCTGTCACCTGTTTGGTGAATTTCCTGTGAGAATTTTCCAACTACCAAACCTAGAATTTCTTAGTGTGAGATACAACCAAGATTTGACTGGATATTTTCCTGAATTTAATCGAAGTAGTCCTCTCATCTTACTGAAAGTAAGCTTTACTAGCTTTTTTGGAACCATACCCTCTTTAATTCAAAATCTTCATTCACTGCAAAACTTGGATGTGGCACAATGCAATTTTTCAGAAGGGTTGGTTCCATCTTCACTTGGGAATCTTAGGCAGCTCACTTATCTAGACATTTCAGCCAATAAATTTGGAGGTCCAATTCCTGATTCCTTGGCAAACCTTACCCAACTAGCTACTTTTAGGATTAGTACAAGTTTTTTAACTGGTCCAATCCCATCTTGGCTAGGCAACTTTAGCAAACTTGAGTACCTAGATTTTGCTTTTAATAGATTAAATGGTTTAGTTCCTGCGTCATTTTCAAATCTCACAAATCTTCATATTCTTTATCTACATTCGAATACTCTAAGTGGTGCAGTGGAGTTTCAAATGTTTCAAAATCTACAATTTCTTTACCAACTCCAATTAAGCTGGAACGCTATAGAATTTGTCACTGAATCCAAAATTTTGAATTCAACAGTTCAACAGTTCACCGTTCTTGGATTGAGTAATTGCAGCATAGGAGAGTTTCCATCCTTCTTACAATATCAGAAGGGGTTGACGCGTTTGGAAATTGCTGAAAGCAAAATCCGAGGCCAAGTACCAAAATGGATGTGGAGCACAAGCTTAGAAACTTTGGTATTCCTAGACATAAGTGGAAACTTCATTTCAGACCAATTTCCAGTTGTCCTTCCTTGGGTGAACCTGGTAGGCTTGGTTTTCAACCAACATGTTTCATGGATCACAACCAATACCTCCACCAACCGTGCTAGAATATGCAGCTACATACAACAACTTTACTGGAGAAATCTCACTGTTGCTTTGCAATATGAAAAATCTTCAGTACCTTGAGTTGTCGACAAATAAATTGAGTGGAATGCTTCCTCAATGTCTCGGAAACTTTAGTGATGAGCTGATTTTTTTAGGTCTTGGAAATAACTTCTTTCACGGAGTTATTCCTCAGACATACAACAACAAAAGCAGTTTGAGGATGATTGACGTGAGTCATAACAAATTGCAGGGGCAGTTGTCGAGGTCATTGGTCAATTGTGTGAGGCTTGAGTATCTTGTTTTGTCAAACAATCAATTCAGTGGTGTTTTTCCCATTTGGTTGGGGACTCTTCCAGAGTTAAAACTTTTGGCAATGCGCCATAATGGATTCTACGGTGTGATTGGAAAATCTAGAAAGAATATTGATTTTCCCAAGTTACACATTCTTGATTTGTCTTACAATAATTTTACTGTTGCAGTTCCATCTTTGTTTCCAGATATTATTATAAACAAGTTAGCATATATGTACACAAACGTGATTTATGAAGTCAGTGGACTCAGGATCCATAAAAGTATTGGGTACGCACTCACACTAGCAACAAAAGGTTTGGAGCAATACTACCCAAAGATTCGAGAAGAATTTGCATCCTTTGATATCTCAAGCAACAAATTTTAAGGGAAAATTCCAAAATTCATTGGGAATCTGAAGGAGCTTCGGTCGCTGAATCTTTCCCATAACATTCTCACTGGTTCTATACCATCATCCTTCGGAAACTTGATGAAGCTTGAATCGTTGGACCTTTCACAAAACAAGCTCTCAGGGCAGATCCCCCAACAACTGAGGCAACTTACTTTTCTTGGCAGTTTCAATGTCTCGCACAACAATCTCACAGGTCCTATACCAGAAGGAACCCAGCTTAGTTCATTGAATATTACTTCATACGAGAGAAACCCAGGGTTGTGTGTAGATCCATTGCCAAAGAAACGTGGAAATCCTAAGGCCCCTCAACTTCCACCTCCAACCGTAGACGAAGGTGATTCTAGCTCAGCAGGAATATTTGAATTTGATTGGAAAATTGTTTCGGCCGGATGTGGAAGTGGGTTGGTAGTGGGAGTAGTTCTTGCAGATGTTGTGATCACAAGGAGGCCCGACTTGTTTCTTAAGATTGTTGGAATGATCAGACAAATGATATGGAAAATTTAGAGTAATAGTGGGGGGGATAGAAATTGAGTTTGTTACAATGTTATGCATCTGTTGTTGTCGTTTGTTTTCTCTATTGTGGTTTCTTTCCTTCTCTATATGTTTAGTTGTAAGTTTGTTTTATGTTATGTAAGTGTATGTCCCCCTACTTTCTTGTATTTTCACTTTCTCTTCTTTATTTTGAGGAGTAAGGTTTATGTACCGCTTGACTAGTTGTAACTTTTTTTTTTTATTCAATAAATTTTTTTTTTGTACAATCGAGGTCATTGGTCAATTGTGTGAGGCTTGAGTATCTTGTTTTGTCAAACAATCATTTCAATGATGTTTTTCCCATTTGGTTGGGGACTCTTCAAGAGTTAAAACTTTTGGCAATGCGCCATAATAGATTCTACGAGAAAATATGCCCGCGCGTTGCTGCGGGACTTGAATGTATTAGTTGCAACAGGCATGAATAGTTTCCACACAAAGCAACTAAAAAGACGTAGCACCCAAGAATCAATGAACAATTGAGACATCTTACTCGTATGTGAGAGTCAATCCCCATTGAACAAAAGTCCTATTTCTTCTTCAAACTAAACTGACATCATTGATCAAGCAATTAAACATTCCTATTGGGAAATAATTGACCCAAGAGTTGAGCAGATATATAGGGATTGGACAAAGGGGACGTAATTAAACTATATAATTTAATAAAAGTAAAGGTCAATACAACTCTTCAAATTAAACTATATATCTAATTTACCAGAAAACTTTGTAAAAGTGACAGTTTACCTAATATGAGCACTTAATTTTCCTATTTAAAACAGTTTACTCATTTTTGATAAGTAAAATATAGCTTAAGCTTAATTTATTAACAGCTTAATGCAGTTCAAAAGTATTTTCTGTAGTGACGAGAAGGAGAAGCTACAGCCAACCCGCCTTAACTTTTAACTTTTTCCAGATGCATATGTACAGTTTACCTGCACCCTCATACCATGTGTCTTGAGCTGTTATCTATCCTCCACTTACAGCATTTTCGCTCTTCTTCATGGGAACCTCGATAGCAAACAATTTCATCTGTTACTGGTTAATGGAGATGTCTTCTGCACAACTGGACTACAAAGAGGGAGAAAAACAGTATTAGGAAAACACATTATACTCAAAATCATCACCAAAGATATTTTCAAACAAATCACAATCCATTACACAAAGTGCATCCAACTCCAAGGCAAGAATACAGATAAACCCTCACCCAAGCAGTAACCAGTTCTTTTGAACTGCGCATCTGTAAAACACATGAGTACGGATACATTAAAGAGAGCAACAACACTAAATTTCTAACATCACCGGCATTCAAAACATTAAGCATGTAGGGAAACTATTTCATTTCATTTTAATTTTTGGTGACACAACTGATGCAAGAAAGGGTCGAGCAAGTAGCATGGCATCAAGAATAAAGGAAGATATTTAGGATGGAACTATTAAAAGTTTCTGTAAACCATTAAATTTATGCTTAGTGAGTATACCAGAAGATTTGCGTGCAACGAAAGTATGGTAACCAGGGGTCTGGTTGGCTGGAGAACTCTGGAGACACAAAAATCTCAGGGGTCTGTGAGTACACCAGAAAATATCAGTCCAAGGTCTCAAGTTCTCAGAGTGGGGAATTACTGATTAGAACAGTTTGTCATCAAAAAAATATATTAGAGAATCAAATTGAAAAATCCAACATAACCCAAATTTACATTAACAGATAAGCAGGTGCTACAGTAAAGAAAAAGAGAGCCAAGAACGGAATTTTACTTTATGCTGGTAACTATCTGAGAACGAAACAAAGACCAACTGGAATGCAAAAAATAATGAAGTGAAATAAGCATATGGAAGTGTTATATATAATGAAGTGAAATTATCCACTATGGTTTATTTGACATATGGATAATTTCATCTAAGAAAGAAAAATAAGCATATGGAAGTGTTTTATATATATATAGTTTTTGTTCCAATTTGTTGTGTATTGGGAAAGACAATAATGTAATTATCATTACTTATTGGTTTTGAATTTGGGTGTTCAAAGGACTTAATATTTGTTTTAGTTTGTGTAGAGAACGGAGACCTAATGGCATGTTGTTGGTTGAATGCTATATGAGAATACAGAAAGGCCAAACCTTTGGGGTTATTTTAAGTAAAAAAAATGTTGATGCATCACATATAAACACTGGGGCAAAAACCTGGCAGTAATGAATGCAAAATCATTCACAAAATAGAACAGAAAACATTATCTCACACAACATGATACAAAATCCTAGCATACTAATTAATACAACATTATAATCCACCATCCCATTTGTCAACATAATTCACCTCTCTAACTATCTTCCCCCTCTCTCTCTCCAAACAAAAATACCCATCTTCCTCTTTTGAAAGCTGCAATTATATAATTGAAAACAATATATAATAAAAATAGAAAAGAGTGAACTCAAGATTAATAAAGGCAAACCAAAATTTAATTGTTCATAGACGAATTAGCAATGAAAATGCGGAGAATCAAATAACAAAGTTTTTTTAATTTCTTCTTGTAGCAATAGACGATCACCAAGCATTACACTCTAACTTTCAGTCAGGCTTAAACGGATGTCCTATCTTTCCTTGTAACTCATCTTTCTTTTCATGGGTATTAGTTTTTGTTTCTACATTGAAACAAAATGGTAGCTTGCAAAACTCATTTAGCCAAGTTAACAACCATTAACAAATAGCTTCTAGAAAAGATCAAAGTGAATAAGATCATTTCAACCTTTAGCTCGAGAACAATTCATAAAAATCTACCCAAATATGAAAATTCCTGCACCATTCTTTGTGATATTGGAACACAAAATTAAGTTGTTTGATTTCAGGCAACCCTACTTTACCTCTATACATGGAAATGGTCCTATTTATGCTGCATTATACGTTAGCAAAACCATATTAATTGAAAAGATGATCATCACACCTAGCTAGCTAGTTGAATTATTTGTTAATTAAACGTACTCGTGGCTTGCAAATTGGCAGGCCATGCCAGAGCGAGAGAAGATGATCATGAGAGCAAATTCAGCGTCGTAGAGGATAGAGAGGTCAAAAGCCTTCTTCAAAAGTCCATTTATGCGTTTGGAGAAGGTAACCTCTTAAGTCTCACAAAAAAATAAGACTTTTTCGTTTGCGAAATCTCTTTCTACCGGGAGTTCTAAAAGTTTTTTTTCGTGTAACAAATAAATAATCTGAATTGTTCTAGCATCCTATTTTTTCACCACATAAACAACAAATCACAAATTTAACACTTACAATGGTATACAAAACCAACTGTAAACGAAAAAGAGAATGTTGAGAAAATAACCCAGATGAAGGCAGCTTTGGAGAGTTTAGAATCCAAGTATGGTATCAACAGCCAAGATATGTTCCTTGCAATATCCTTTTATAGATCCCAAAACAAATTCAATCTGCACAATCAAATTTCTTGTTATAGCCAAAAGAGAACTCTTCAAGGTAGTGCATCTCAAACATTAAATGAATAATTCAGATAAAATGAAACCACAAAAGAACACAAAAATTTAAAGAAAAATTCTTTATAAATTAGCATCCTGACTGCTTTGGATCCAAAAACTTTTAGCACAGATAGTGCACTGCAATTTATCTAAAATAAAACCCTAAACCTATGAGGGCAGCGTTTGTAATTTTTCTTTACTGAGTTATGATAAATAATAAAATCTAGCAATGAAGTTCCACATGCATATGTCTTTGTATTACATTCTTCTTCTCGCTACTTCTTTTTTATTAGAATTATGTGTTGGTTGTTGCCCGAACAGAAATTTCAATTGGTTAGCTTTGAGGGCTGGAAATAATATTTTCCGAGCAAGAAAACAGAGGCAAATAAATAAAACTGTCGATCGAGTGCAAGTTGTATCCTAAGAAATTCTTAAGCCAATGTAATTGGCTTCAAAATTCTTGCTTCTCTTCAGATAAAATTTTGGTTATTGTTTCTCTCTTTCGTGCAAGCTTACACCATTAAAGGAAGCCAGAGATTTTTACCTTTTACCTTCGGTCTGAGATCCTCAAGTAGTGCGCTCTACAAGCGGTTCCAGAAAACAAAAAGCACCGTTTCCTGAAAATAAAAGGAAAACTATACCATAAACCCACACTGAGCATCTAAACACATAAACAAAATAGCCAAAATTTGAAAAAACAAAAATTTAAACAAAAGTTGTATCTGCATACCAAAGGCCACCAAAAAAAAAAAAAAATCTTAACAAAAGACTCGAAAGGAAAAACGAAAAATTGTATGCCCTCAGCACAAAAGGGCTACCAACGCCACACACAACAGCTCCAAAATTTGATGATCAGCGCTTCCTGAAAGAAAAAACCAAATCAAATTAGACAACCAGACACAAGATCGAAGCACACACACATAACCCCCAAAATCACAAAACAAAAAAAATCCAAACACAAAATCCAGCTGCAAATCGAAAGCCACAAATCCAGAAATTAAACAGGGACGCTGAAAAAGACCTAAAACTCTCAAATGAATTCTTATTCCACATATCCCGCATACACGAACCTAACTTGCCACTGTTCACCACCCCCACTCTTCCCTCTCTTTATCTCCCAGCAATCCCGACGATTTCTCTCACTGTCACCCTCTCTTGGCATGGATTAATAATTACCTCAACAGCTAATGGAGCCAAAGCCAAACTCCAGAGCTTCGAAGGGCAGGATCACAGAAACAGGAATAGTTCTTCTTCCTTCCCCACTACTGCTGCTGCCGCTTTCTCTCTCTAAAAACCAATTGGAAATTGTTTAGAGAGAGAGACAGAGAGGCGAGAGTGATGACTTCAATGATTCAAATTCTATTTAAATTATCTTCTTTAGCTCTAAAACAACAAACCCAGAACCCTAAGGTTGCATGAATGCAAAACTCAAAAATCCAAATTCCAGAGTTATTAAAGAAAAACAGAAATATACAAAAATAAAAAAACCCAAAAGAAATCAAAACATATAATCAATAAATAGTTAATTAATTAATCAAATAAATACAATACCTGAATGCCTCGTTTGAACGACCCGATGCAAGAACTCGATAACCCGTCACAGCAAGACCGGACATTTTAGAACTGACTGCGCAGTGAAAGGCCTTCGCCTGTGTGTCCTGAGTAGAACAGAGTGAATGATGGTGGTTCTGTGGTGATGTTTCGCCGGAAGCAACAGCAGCACCGCCTGAAGTATCCCTACTGGCCGAAGCAGTAACAGAAGAAAAAGATGAGGTGGAAGACGATGGATATTCATAATCGAAGAGTTCGAAGGGATTTACCTTTGGATTGTTTGGCTTTCAGATGGAGTTTGCTGGTGTATGGGCCTGCAACTTCGTTTGCAGGCGTGATGTTTCCATGGAATTTCTCTCGGGCTTACATAGAGAACAAAGCGAGAGAGAAAGCTCTCCAGATTTTGTGGACTCAAGGCCTGAGTTTGGTTTTTGACAGAAATGGAGGCCATGGTTTCTCAGAGAGATCAGCGAGCTCACATTTTTTAATTCTCAGAGAGAGAAAACTCTCGAGCTTTTGCAGAAGGGGAATTGTGTTTTGTCGAGGTTTTGAGTTGTAGTGGAGCTAACGAAGGGAGATGAGAGAGAGAGGTGGAGCGGCTAGGGTTTGAGTATGGAAGAGATGAAAACTGGAGAGAGCACCTGTTTTGGCTGCAGCACTGTTCACACACGGGGATCAAAAGTCGAGAGATTCAGCAGCAGTGTTGTAAATAAACTGAAATGTGGTCCAAACACTGTTCATTTCTACAGTGCAATTTCGCCTCCTTCTTTAGACTAAAGTAATGTTGTGATTGGAAAATCTAGAACGAATGTCGATTTGCCCAAGTTACGCATTCTTGATTTGTCTTACAATAATTTTACTGGTGCGGTTCCATCTATGTTTCCAAGCATTATTGTTAACAAGTCAGCATATATGTTCACAGGTGTAGCTTATGATGCTGGTGGAGCCAGGATTATTAGATGTGCTGGTTACGCACTCACACTAGCAACAAAAGGTTTGGAGCAATACTATCCAATGATTCGAGACGAATTTGCATCCTTTGATATCTCAAGCAACAAATTTTAAGGGAAAATTCCAGACTTCATTGGGAATCTTAAGGAGCTTCGTTCGCTGAATCTTTCCAACAACATTCTCACTGGTTGTATACCATCATCCTTCGGAAATTTGATGAAGCTTGAATCGTTGGACCTTTCACAAAACAAGCTCTCAGGACGGATCCCCCAACAACTGAGGCAACTTACTTTTCTTGGTAGTTTCAATGTGTCTCACAACAATCTCACAGGTCCTATACCACAAGGAACCCAGCTTACTTCATTGAATATCACTTCATACGAGGGAAACCCAGGGTTGTGTGGAGATCCATTGCCAAAGAAATGTGGAAAGTCTAAGGCCCCTCAACGTCCACCATCAACCGTAGACGATGGTGATTCTAGCTCAGCAGGAATATTTGAATTTGATTGAAAATTGTTTCGGCCGGATGTGGAAGTGGGTTGGTTGTGGGAGTAGTTCTTGCAGATGTTGTGATCACAAGGAGGCCCAATATGTTTCTTAAGATTGTTGGAATGATCAGACAAATGATATGGAAAATTTAGAGTACAAGTGGTGGGCGTAGAAATTGAGTTTGTTGCAATGTTATGCATTTGTTGTTGTCGTTTGTTTTCTCTGTTGTGGTTTCTTTCCTTCTCTTTCTAATGTTTAGTTATAAGTTTATTCCACGTTATGTATGTCCCCCTATTTTCTTGTATTTTAGCTTTCTTTTCTTTATTCTCTCTTTATTTTGAGAGGTAAGGTTTATGTCCCTCATGACTAGGTGTAACCTTTTTATTTTATTCAATAAAATTTTTCCTCATACCGTTAAGGTTTCTTTAAAAAGAAGGAAAGAATGTACTTGTGCTTTTTAGCTTTCAGTTGATTGTGTGATGCGAACTAAGTAAGCACACAAATTAAACCCTCTTTTTGTCAATTGTAGTATAAGTTTAAGTAGGGATCGTTCTAAACCGGGGATTAGGAGGGATTACTAAATCACTTGGAAACTGACTCAAAAATGTAAAACAAACATTAAAACACTAAAACAAATCAAAAGACTCAAAGAATACAAAACACTTATAAACACAAACTAAGACACTTTCTAACTAAATTGGACACTAAAGTAAAGGGGGATTGAGATTTTGACGAAAATAAATTAAATGCACAAATTGTAATTTAAAGGTAGAATTTAAATATGAATGTGATGAAATATGGAATGAATGCTAGCTAAGGGGTTCTTCTCCACACATGTTATACTTGCATACAAGATTGATTCTCAGTTGGTCTTTCGATAAATTATGAAACTCAACACTCCGGATTAATTAGGTCCGCTTAAATTAACCGTCAAGTTTTCCTTAAGTTAATGAATTGGATGGGTTTGCGCAACGCAATTCACAACATTCTCCAAAAGTCCTTTACGTGAACAGCACAATAAAGATACAATCAAAGATCATTAAGTATTATGAAAACTATAAGTGTTGACGAGGCATTCGTTACTATGATGAGCATGAAACTCGTGCCAAGAATTCATTTAACGCGATTGTTTATAAGCAACCTCCACTACTTGTGAATATAAGTTCATAACGATTAGGTGAAAATCACTTATATTCTAGCGTCATATTTATGCATGAAAATTAAGCGCACATTCTTAATAAACATTCATAAATAAGTTATCAATCAAACGGTTAAACAAATTGAATCCACAACTTATGAAATTCCAACGAAAGTTAATCAATTCATATTGCAAATATAAACATAGTTTCGAATCACCCCCTAGCTAAAGGGGGTTTAGTTCCTCATACCTTTGAAATCAAAGAAACACCTAAACATTCCAACAACTCAAAACTTGAATTGTATGAACGTTTAAGCACTCTTCTCTTCCATTCCTTATACGTACAAAACAAAGAGAATTAAAATGAAACTTTGAAATCAAAGAAACACCTAAACATTCCAACAACTCAAACTTGAATTGTATGAACGTTTAGGCACTCTTCTCTTCCTCGTTGTTGTAGCACAAGGTTTAAGGATAGGTTGGTTGATGGGATGGAAGTGTGGAATGGAGTGGAAATGGAGAAAATGGAGAAGGGGAAGTGTTTGTGTATTACAATGGAAAATGAGATAGTTAGGTGGAATGGTGGATGAATCATTAGGGTTAATGGCTAATGGGAATGCACGGATGAAATGATGTAAATGGGATAATGGGCTGAATATTTTATGAATGTGAGATGGTTTGCACGGTTTTGGGTGGTTTAATGGGAGATAATGGAAGAAAAAGTAAAATGGTGGCTGAATAAAATAAAATGGCATGAATAATGAATGGGATAATTAGGTAATGGAATGGAATTAGGGTGCGTAATTAAATGGTTTATTAGGGTCCAATCTTAATGGGAGGCCACGGCTAGAAAATACGGACGTTTAAGTTTAGGAAAGGTTACCAAAACGGGAAACTTAGGGTTAACTTTCCTAAAATAGGAAACCTTGTTTGAGTAGGATTCCTCGTTTTGGTAAGAATTCATCGTTGGAGTAGGATTTCGTCGTTTCTTCAAGTCTTCAACTCATTCGTTCCTCTTTCGCTCCAAAAGGCTCCAATTTGCATCTTCTTGCATACTTTGGCCTTATAATCTGAAAATACATAAAAGTGGCCTTAAACACTAAAACAACTAAGTAAACACAACATAAATGCACGAGAACAAGCTAATTAAGTCGCATGAATATGCTCCTATCAAATTCCCCCACACTTAGCTTTTGCTAGTCCTCGAGCAAAACAAACAAAAGAAAGAAAACAAAACGAAACAAACTAACCAAAACCAAAAACTAAACCTTCCAACGTTCGCCTCAGGGATTTCCAATGAAACATGACATGTCAAAATTCCAATGTTTTGAGAAGCATTTCGTGGAGGATGTACTTAAGTTCTTATTGGAGCATGTAGGTAAGCCACCAACTCAAAATCCAAAGTCGTTTTTGACTAATATGTTGTTGATGTCAATAATTAGGGCACCCACTCTTGAAATTCAACCATTGCCGGAACATTTCAAGTATCATCATCCATTCAATGATCAACTCCATGCCGTGGGTTCCATTAAGGCATGATTGTGTTCTTCGTCCGGCTGTACGACGTTAAAGCAAGCGCTACTTGGGAGGCAACCCAATATATTCAAAATTTGATGCGATAATTACTTGACACTCAAATTAAACCCTCTTTTTGTCAATTGTAGTATAAGTATAAGTAGGGATCGTTCTGGACCGGGGATTAGGAGGGATTGTTAACCACTTGGATTTTTGACTTAAAAACGTAAAAACAATATAAAACACTAAACTAAATTGATTTCTAACTAATTTGACAATAAAGTAAAGGGGGGATTGTGTTTGGACAATATTAAATTAAATGGAAAAATTGTAATTAAAGGCAAAACGTAAATATGAATGAGATGAAAATATGGATGATGGAATAGCCAAGGGGTTCATCTCCACACATGTTATATTTGCATACAAAATTGATTCTCAGTTGGTCTTTCGATAAATTATGGAACTCGACACTTCAAGTTAATTAGGTCCGCTTAAATTAACTTTCAAATTTCCCTAGAATCATTGAATTGGATGAATATGCATCGCAAACAAATTATTCCTAACAAGTTCTCTATATGAACAGCATGATAAAGATACAAGTTAGAATCATTACGTTCTTTGGAAATTATAAGCATCGACAAGGCATTTGTAACTATGAAAAGCATGATACTCGTGCCAAGAATTCATTTAACGTGATTGTTTATAAGCAACCTCCACTACTTGTGAATATAAGTTTATAACGATTAGGTGAAATTCACTTATATTCTAGCGTCATATTTATGCATGAAAATTAAGCGCGCATTCTTAATAAACATTCATAAATAAGTTATCACTCAAACGGTTAAACAAATTGAATCCAACATTCATGAAATTCCAACCAAATATAATCAATTCATATTGCAAGTATAACCATGGTTTCGAATCACCCCCTAGCTAACTAGGGGGATTTAGCCTCTCATGTTCACAAAAAGAGAATTACAGATGAATTTAAACATAAAGCACAAAGGATTGATTACACCTAGAACGCCCAACGAATCCACGTGAATTGGTGCGCGTCGAAGCTCCTCTTTCCTCTTCTCCTTCTGCGGCAGATTGGTTAAATGGTGTTGGTGGATGATTTGCGGGTTTAGGGATGGATTTATGGAGGATTGGTGGTGTAGGAAGGTGTGTAAGGTGATGGAGGAAGGTTGGTATGGTTATGGAATGCACGGATTGGTTTTTGAATGGAATGTGGAAGTAAAAATGGAATGGGAAGCTACGGATGATGGGGAATGGTTGATTAGTGTTATCGAATTAGAATAATGGATATGGATGATTAAAAATGGAATAATGGGCTAGTGGGGATGGTGGATGATTATGGCAATGCACGGTTTTGAATTGGATAATGGGAAGTGGTGTGGGTGATTTAAAAATGGAAAGTGATAGTTAGGTGGAATGGTGGATGAATCATTAGGGTTAATGGCTAATGGGAATGCACGGATGAAATGATGTAAATGGGATAATGGGCTGAATATTTTATGAATGTGAGATGGTTTGCACGGTTTTGGGTGGTTTAATGGGAGATAATGGAAGAAAAAGTAAAATGGTGGCTGAATAAAATAAAATGGCATGAATAATGAATGGGATAATTAGGTAATGGAATGGAATTAGGGTGCGTAATTAAATGGTTTATTAGGGTCCAATCTTAATGGGAGGCCACGGCTAGAAAATACGGACGTTTAAGTTTAGGAAAGGTTACCAAAACGGGAAACTTAGGGTTAACTTTCCTAAAATAGGAAACCTTGTTTGAGTAGGATTCCTCGTTTTGGTAAGAATTCATCGTTGGAGTAGGATTTCGTCGTTTCTTCAAGTCTTCAACTCATTCGTTCCTCTTTCGCTCCAAAAGGCTCCAATTTGCATCTTCTTGCATACTTTGGCCTTATAATCTGAAAATACATAAAAGTGGCCTTAAACACTAAAACAACTAAGTAAACACAACATAAATGCACGAGAACAAGCTAATTAAGTCGCATGAATATGCTCCTATCATTGTGTTGTTCAAGTTCAAGATTTTACCCTATATATCGTAGTGTTTTAAGTTATATCAACATTTGTTTGTACCATCGAGTTCCCTTAACAAAAAAAAAAATGGAGATGAAAGTAATGTAAATAAAGATAGTAGAGTGCTGCATGTTGTCATGGATTCGGATTTTCTGAAATTAGAATGAAAGCAGCTATGTTTATTTAAAAGGATTCAATATATATTGATTCGATTAATTGGAGACACCTTTTTCAATCAAATGAAATCGAAACTTTCCTATGCCTCAGTATCTAATAATACTTGAACAGTTAGAAATTTAAGAGTAATGTTGTCTAAAATTCTAAAACT